CACTGGCCATCCCCCCCCTCCCACCACTGCAGAGAGGCTGCTGGTCCTCCCACTCCCTCATCCTCTGGCCGGTGCAGCCTGAGATGTACCCACACAGCTGCACATGTATTAAAGGACGATCTCCTGGGTAGAGCGCCGTGTGGGCTCGTCACTGTGGGACCTGATCAGGGTCAGGTGCTGGTCCACAGCCTGGTGGGGACCCTGCTCCTTTCCTGTGACCTTGCAATGTCCCTGTGCCAGCGCTCAGGCCAGCAGCACGCTGGATCAGACCCGCTTTGGGCTCATCTCTTCCATCCCTTCAGTCCCACTAGCTCTGCTGAGAGCCCCCAGCCCCACGCATGGGCCACCCCTCTCCCCTCCCATGCACCACAGTCCTCGCTGGGCTCCAGTGATGCACCAGCCTCCCAGGCAGCAAGGCCTGGGTCTCAGTGTGGAGATGGCTGTCTGCCAGCTCCCCACACCCCTCTTTCACCTCTAGTTTTGGAAAAATCTTCAGAACTTGCTCACCCAGGCACCAACTCTCCCACCAGCTGCCCCATCACAGGCACGGGAGCTTGTGGGCATTGGGGCAGCCCCATTTCAAGGCTTCATTCAAGCAATGTTTCAGGAGAGCATTAGATGAATCCATCTTTGAGGCCAGACAGCTCACGCTTCCCCACTGGTCCCATCATTTTCTGTGTCACAACCCCCCAGACTGCAGCTGGTTGAGTGCAACCAGCTGGGAACGTGCCAGCTCATCCCTAGAGCAGGGCTGGAGAGGAGAACTGGTGAGAATTCACACCAAATTGGGTCTTCTGCCTGGTTGCACTGCAGGAGATGCTGAGGCTCAGCCCTCATGGGGTGCTTTTGGTGGCTGCAGCAGTGCCTTGTCCATGCCTCCAAGGTATCCAGAGGAATCACAGCATCTGTGGTTTCAAACCTGTGTCACGCCATGGGTGTTTGGTGGCACACCCCTGTCCCTGAGTAGTGAGCTTGTAAAGTACAGAAAATGCTATAAACTTGGAGCAAAGTGCAGGTCCCCAGATGGGCACCAGGGCTGGAAGGAAACAGCACCAAAAAGTACGAGGTCTCCAACAGAGCTCAATCTTCCCACTGAAACATTACGTTTCTTTAGGGTGGTCCCATGAAGTTGGCTCTTGCAGGACTTTCTGTGGCAGGCTTGGTAGCTCTTTGGCCAGCAGTGCAAGTCAAGGAGACCCATTGTAGAGAGGTGGGCTTGGGTTTGGTCTCCAAACTGGCAGGACAGCTGGATTGCTCTGGGCATGACATCCCCTCCTTTGGCCAATTCAGGGATACTGAATTGAACCACTGTGAGCTGAACCACTCACTTTTCTGCTTGGGCAAAGAGGTGGTGACTGATGAGAACACTTATTTCTAGCATGGTCATCAGCACTCGAGCTGCCACAACAACCAGCAACTCCTTCACAGAGAATTTAAGACTCAATATGAAAACTCTTCCCAAAACTAAGGTTCAATCAGCGGTGGTGTGAGCTGGAAAATACGCATTTGCCTCCTTAGCAAGTACAGATGCTCAGTCTTTGTCTCCTCCTGACCCACCATCAGCATCCCACTAACTGGGGCCAGGACCACCCCCTGCATGACTGGAGCAATTGCACGGCACACAGAGCCTTTTCCACCCATTTTTCCCTTTCCAAGCTTAATTTGGTGGAGCAGGTGCAGCCAAGCATGGCACCAGGGCTCGCTGACCATTTGTCCTCATCCTGCTCACCTCGGGACGGGGTCCAGACAGGCAAAACCCTGGGAAGCGAGTCTCCATCTTGGACAACCCAAGAAACTCTGCTCTTGGAGGTGATCAGAGATCATAGGTGGTGAGATCCCAGGTTGCTGCCATGGCCAGACCTGCTCTGCTACTGGAAGCAAAAGGTTTCGGCTACGATCTCACCCCTCCGTGCTCACTGCCCGAGCAGGAGCTGTGCCGAGGCAGCGTCCTGGGATCTCGCCGCACACACTATCCCCAGAGGGAACTCACACACGATCCTGGCAGAGGAAGAAAGGTGTGTAGGGAGAGGTAATAACTGTTACCTGACCAACTGGTATAGCTGGAAAATACAAGAGATGTTTCACGGAAACAAAGCCTTCTTCAGACCTGGATCAGAAGCAGAAAATGGCAAGCCAAGTCCAGGTAGAGAACAGTTGCTCTGAGACTAGTGCAATTATGCTAATTTTGTAATTAAAAAAAAAAAAAGAGGTGGCGTTTGTGGGGTGGGGAGGGATGGTAGTGAGATGAAAGGCAATATGGGTGATGGGTGCTGTGGGACCAGGTTCTGGTCGGTGCTCAGTAGCCAACCTGTGCCCATGCCCAGCTCATGGTCAGATCCTGCACACCAAGGCACCTGAAACTGCTGCAGAGCAAAACCTGAGGGCTCAGCAGCACAGTGGCCTCAGGGTGTACTAAGCAAATCCCAGAGCCCACATGCCCTCATCGTAGGCTGTAGATGACTTTGCATGGCTGCCTTGTGTTTTAGATTGGGGGAGGAGAGAAAAACCCAACCCCAAAACTCTTCGCTCTGCAAGTTCCTCTGCTTTTTCAAAGTACGATGCTCCCCAGTCACCATGTCCCACTTTCATCCTTCTCCAGTGGAAAACCACATTGATCTGTCATGGGAAAACAAAGTTTTATGGAGTTCAGTTTTATTAGAAATGTGGAAAAACCCCCATCTCTTTACAGGGACTGAATCTCGAGGAGAAAATGCAGCTGTTTGCTCTGAGTTTGAGGCTCTCCTGGTTGGATCAGGGGACTGGGAGCCAAGTCTTCTTCTCCACCTTCTCTCTGGAGCTGCTTCTGTGGCTCTGGGCCAGCTGGGAGCCCAGCTCTTGCCTTGGTAAAAGGGGCAGGTTGAACCTTTCATCCCGGGATGTGCCTGGCTTCCCTGGCACCAGATCAGCTCTGCCATCCTGCTGTTGCTTCCCTCCTCGGTGACAATAATCTCTAAATTAGAAGAGAATCCTTTGGTAATCCCTTTTTACTGAAAATTCAGTCCAAATGGGGGATTTGCAAGGCTCTTCTTAGGGAGAGAAGCTGATGCTGGAGCAGTTGCTAATGGAGTTGCATTTATTTCCAGAAGAACTGTGTGAGTCAGTCCTGTCTCTTTGAACTGAGCAGAACCCTGTCCTTACTGTCCTCCAGGTTACTTCATTGCAGCCAAGACCCCCCACAGCAAAGCAAAACAAAGCACTGGAAGCTTGAAATTGTTGAAATCACAAATTAAATGGGGCAGTAGAAAAAAACTATTAATCAACTTGATTTTCTGCTGGAAAGGTTTTGCTGGCAAAACTGCAATGAGGGAGATGCAAAGAGCTTGGCCTGATGTGGCCTCTCAGAAATATCCCCACTAGTTGGTTGTAAAATGGTTCCATCTGCAGATGAGGAAAAACTTTCCTTTGAGGGTGCCTGAGCCCTGGGACAGGCTGCCCAGAGAGGCTGTGGAGTCTCCTTCTCTGGAGATGTTCCAAACCCACCTGGATGTGATCCTGTGCAACCTGCTCTAGATGTACCTGCTTTAGCAGGAAAGTCAGACTAGATGATCTCCAGAGGTCCCTTCCAACCCCCACTATCCTGTGATTCTGTGTTCCCTTCATTTCCTAGGATGCTCTGTGACCTCCTTGCTAATTGGTCACGCCTGGAGACACCTGAACTGTGCCCAAATATTTCCCTGAGTGTATTTGCAGTTCAGCTGGTGTCTGGATCTGCAAAGGGAGGAAGAGGACTAGGGATGATGGGCAACCCTGGGGTAGGATGGGGTAAAGTTTATCCCATGGCCTGTGAAGTCCACTGCAGCACCCTGCCCTGTGTGGCAGTTAACGCTGAGCTGCAGTCCCTGTGGTAAAGGTTAAACATTTACCCCCCCGTGACCCCCCAAGGCCTCCGTGGTGCTGCCGGTGCCGGATCAATCCCCACAACTGCAGCTGCACAGGAGGCAACGCAGGAACACCCGCAGCACTTGGGCAGGGTTATGGCATAACCCCCATCACCCTGGGAGTTGTCACTGCGGGTCCTGTGTGTCCCCTGCAGTATAAAACGGGGAGAAATGGGTTTCTTCACCCCCAATTTCCCCTCCTGCAGCCCTCCTTGGTGTGACTGTCTGTCCATCTTGTCCATCTTTCCTTGCTGTGGTCTGTGCCCTCATACTCACTGCTGATATTAGAGGGGATTCTCATTAATTGCAACTAATTTCATGTGCTATGAGGGATGCAGTCTGCCATCCAGCTGCTGGCAATGAGTCCCAGTTATTTTATCCATGACCTGAAAAGTTTCCACTGAAATCACTTTTAGGGGATGTCCATGGTTCTTCATCGCTAGACCTGGGGCATCACAGGAGATGGTATCTAATGAGGAGTCTAATCTGCAGAGGAGAACTGGAATCTGAATGACACTATAGCATCCCTGGGGCACCACGGTG